AAAAAAAAAAACGTCCTGATAATGAAAATACGAATTACAATGACGCGAGAGAAGAGAGAACACATTGTGAAGAAACACTGCGATTTTATGAACATTCTTCTCTATGCAAACTGCAAATTGAATTGGTAAAAGGTCCACATTTTCTGGTAAAATTACAGCAAAATGAATTCCAAATTGATGCTCACCTGATCATAGTTCTTTCTAGGTAAAAGTTATCACGAACAAATAATCAAAATCATAATTCATAATCACGATACATTGAAGCTACATAGCGACTGCGTTTATAATCGCGTACCGGGACAGAGCCAGGAAGCTGGCTGCTCGGAAGATTGGTGAAAGATTCTTCCATTGCACAGTCGACTTGCGCGAGCTAGAGAGAGAGAGATTCGAGGCAATTCTTGAAATAAGAGGAAATGTTGGGGTTAACGTGACACAGCTTGGTGGAACTTGAAACTAGATATAGATAGATATTTGTTTTACAAATAAAAAATGTTTATTTTAACAGTAAAAGGGATGAAAACAAAAAAAAAAAAAGTAAATCAGTTTTCGATGAACTAGTACGTATCTCGTGCGATGCACGGAACAGAGATATTAAATTAGTTATTTTCACAGATTATGTTCGCTTAAGCATACTTTTTTAAACCCGGGCAGGTCTTCGGGTCATCGGTTCAACCGTCGGGTCACCGGGTCAGTTGCTGAACTGGATAACTAATCTTAATTTTTTTTAAATAATATATAGAGTATTTTGTCATATAAATTTACATAAACTAAAAAATTAAAAGTTCTGTATATATGATTTGTATATTAAAGTGTTAATAATATGTATTTCATGAGAATATTATACATATTTTTATTTTTTAAAAACAAAAATTATTTTAAAAAATGAAAAAAATATATAGGGACCGGGTCAATGCCCTGGGTCGATAGGGTCAAGGCCGGGTTGGCCGGGTCCTTTGTTGCCTGATCCGAGTAGTCCACCCGGTCCAGGTTGAAAAACACTGCGTTTAAGTCTAAAAAGCAATAGGTTATCATCTATTTTCTATCTCTTTTAATCAACATTAAGCCGAAAAAAATTAAGGTTGTAATATATTTTTCACTTTTAATCAACATTGTTTTATTATCTTCTTTCTTCTTTTTCTTTTTATTAGAACTTAAATTATGTTGTAATATTTATCTTGGCCAAAATATTATCAAGATGAATCACGAAAATTCAATTTTGTGATCTATTATAATGAATATCAATGAAATTATTGTTGATATTACTAATATTATTTAAGGAACAATATTTTTTGATCATATATGATTTGATCTTATATCAAATCGTGTATATATATAAGCTATTAATGAATATATTTAAAAAAAATTCCAAAAAAAGGTATTTTCAAAAAATTTGATTACTATTTTTAGTAGATGGTTATTCTTATTATATATATGTATAGATTCATTATTTTAGGGGATTGTATGTGATAAATCTAAATTTGTATAATTCACGTTTTTTTCATATATTTTGCTTATTAAATTATAAATATATTTTTATTATAAAATAATAGCCGACATTCAAAAAAATAGTATTAGCCGATTTGATATTAAAAAAGTTTCTGATTTTTTGAGCAATCAAAACATAACTGCTAGATTTAGTGGTTAAAAAAATTCAAAATAAATAATATATTTTTTATATTTTGATTATTAAATAAGTTGTAATTTATTTTTAGTAAAAAATAAAAATCTGACATATAAAATAACTGGATTAGTCAATTTGATGTTAAAAAAGTTTTTCATTTTTTTAGCAATCAAAATATAACTGACAGATTTAATGGTTAGAAAATAAAATAAAAAATAATTTTATTTATATTTTTTATATGAAATTAGTCGTATGTTAGTTTTATTAAAAACTAAAGCTGATATTAGAATCAATTGTATTAGCCGATTTGATGTTAAAAAATTTGTGATTTTTCAAAATACTAAAGTAAATTTTTATTATTAAATTAGCCATAAATTCTTTCTTAAAAAATAAAAAAATAAAAATAAAAAACTACAATTGTGATACATGATTTTCCTTTAAAATTTTTTTTGATGATTTTGTGGAAGTTTAAAAATAACAACCCCAATCTTATCCATAAAAAATAACAAACAACACATTTTTAAAATAAAAAAATAAAAATAAAAAACTACAATTGTGATACATGATTTTCCTTTAAAATTTTTTTTGATGATTTTGTGGAAGTTTAAAAATAACAACCCCAATCTTATCCATAAAAAATAACAAACAACACATTTTTAGGCCAACATTAATGAGGGCTGTTTGAAAGTAAAAAAAAAAAAAAAAAAAAACTTTCTATTAATAGCATGTAATTAATGTTATTTGTATTTGACCAAACTTTGACTTGCCATTTTTGAAAAATGGTAATTCTTTTTATATATATATAGATATATAGGAAAATGCTAAGATTCGTTATGGGATGGTTCAGTTTTGGATGGTTCAGTCAGTGTATTTCACCATTAGATATACATGTAAATTATATTGTGTAGATAATATATACTGACGGAACCATTTCGTCAACGGGACTGTAGTTGTATATATACGAGATAAAATATTATGAATAAAATTATTATAAAATAAAAATAATACAATAATAATTATGAATAATTGATAGTTAAAATATATGAGTAGATTAATAGTAAAGTTTATTTTATATTGTATAACAATTAATCGATAGTTCTTTCTTAGACTGGGTGGACAAGGTGTGGAGCCGGGAGGTGGGATGAGAGCCATGAAATCTCATGGTGCCTAAAAGGATCAACCTGAGGACCAAACGGGGCAACATGCAGGACGTGAGCATGTCATACATCTCATAAGATAGGAGTTGGATCGAATAATAGGTAAGCCGTTCCCCAGCCCAACCTGGTAGTGGAACAACCTTTGTTTCTTAGCAGAAGGCGAGAGGAGGGAGAAAATAGGTTAGTTACTTTCTCTGGTGATGAATAGTTTGGCGAGAGATGTGACCTTGAAGCGAATGACGGGTCAAATCAAGGAGCTCCAGGCTAAGGTGGAAGGTAGAAGACAACCTCGTGTTCAAGGTCACCCCTTTTTCGACGATGTGTTGAATGCGGATTTACCTCTCATCATTTTGGAGCCAAGGATGGTCTATGATGTATCTACTGACCCGACTAGGCATATGTGATGTTTTGAGAACATAGTGGTGTTACATTGGTACAATGAAGCGGTATAGTAGTTGGGCATTTTTTGCGACCTTGAAGAGCTCTGCCAAGATTGGTTCCAACAGTTGACAACGGGATCAATTTACAGCTTTGAGCTTTGAGGTGTTCAACTCGTTATTTATGAACCAATTTTCTAGTGCAAGAAACATGAAAAGACATACCTAGCGTTGATCAATATGCAAGAAAAAGAGAGTGGGTCCTTGAAGGATCATGTTGATCATTTTGCACGAGCTTGTGTTGAGGTCCCTTGGGCCTTTGAGGAAATCACAGTTGAAGGCCTGACGAGTGGTATTCGGCCAGGTCATTATTGGAATTCCTTATCTAAGAAGCCCGCAAGGTCATACAATGAGCTATTACAATGTTGACCTAAGTATATCAATATGGAAGAGGAGATCAAAGTTGTCACTTTTCGTTATGAATGTTTACAATCTCATTGGTGTATTGTACTCAAACATATGTGCGTTTACTTTAGAGTACGTACTTTCATGTAACGTGATGATTTCAAAAAATAATTTAAAATTTCAAGAGAAGTACATGTAACGGAGATTTTAGAAAGTAAAATTTTACTGCCTTTAATTTAAAGGCCATTCATACTTAAGAGCAGTGTTTTGTGACCCGGACCGACCCGGCGGGTCGACCCGGGACCCGGTCGACCCGGAGCCGGAACCGGTCCGGGTGGGTTAATTGGACCGGACAACAACGGACCCGGTCAAACCCGGTCAAAACCCGGTCGACCCGGCCTTGACCCGGTCGACCCGGGGCATTGACCCGGTTGGGTCAACCCGGTTGACCCGGTCTATATGTATTTTTTTTTTTTTTTAATTTTCTTTTTCTTTTTAAAAAATAAAATTATGTATATATATTTATATGATAAATATATACATATTATTACCACTTTAATCTACAAATTTTACATACAAAATATTTAAATTTGTTATTTTTATGTATATTTATATATCACAAATACTCTAAATATAATTTTATAAATTTTAAAATTAATTATCCGGTTCAGCAATTGACCCGGTGACCCGACGGTTGAACCGGTGACCCGGTGACCCGAAGACCTCCCCGGGTCGATTACCGGGCCGGGTTTAAAAACTATGCTTAAGAGCGGAGATGAATTTTATTTCCACCCTACAGTGCGATGCCCCCATGGGTAGGTACCAATTTGTCTATATGACTATATGGAGACAGTAACGAAGTAGTTCATAATTGATTATTAATATCAACAACTTTAATGACACAATTGATTATTTTATAGAGTTATTTATGATTCGTTAGTAGAAATACTTATTAATATCATACAATCATGAATTTGAGGATATGTTTGATAGAAAAATTGTATTTAACTTTATTCGAATTAAATCGATATTAATCCCAAGAGCTTTCATATTGAATAATCGAGAATCATAACCGAAGAGTGGAAGCATACCTGATGGATTCATGTTGACTTATTAATTGTATTTGGGATTTGAAGATCTTCCAAAAGACCGTGAATTATTCCTTATATTTCCTTCAGACGTACGAAAGAAAAGAACTTTAGCTTATTTTCCTTATCAGAAAGATAATGCCCAATACCCTCTTTATAGTGATTAATAATACTAATCACATTTAATAATGATAGTGTCGGCAAACAACTACCAACAACTTTTATTTATTTATTATTATTATTTTAATTATTCCTTATGGGTTATCCGAATGGGCATCACTTTATTTTCACGGCTTTTGGGGACTCCACCCATAAATAATTTTGACCCAAATTATTTTCTATTTAGGTCCTTAAGTTTAATATTATTATTTGTTACGTCACCAAATAATAATATTACCGGGTGTCCATATTTAATCATTCCACAATCTAAATTAAGTTCCTTAGCCAATGTACAATAATTTGATCACTTTATTTTGGCTAAACAATATAATGACCCAATGTATTAACTACATATATTTAATCCCAAATAGATCTAACAATCTCTCACTGGATTAAATATGTGTACTGATAATACATTATACCTTATGAGCTTAAAATATGGTCATTATTACAGAACTTAAACAATCTGGTCCATTAATCACAATAATATAGGACTAAAGCAGTTTTCGCCGTATATACACAGCTAAACTATCAATAATCAC